TTTCATTTGGTTCATTAATTCTATAAGGCCATAAAACAGGTAATATAAAAAGCTTCCATGATTCTATTTATATGTACATTAGAAGGAACTTCCAGGTGTTACTGTAATTCCTCAATGTATTGTTTCGACAGCACTAATTTAATGCCGATATACTCTAGATGAAGTTTTACATTGTTGAGCTATCGCTGTTCTCTTGGGAACTGAACTTACTTTCCTCTTGGGGCTTTGGATTTGACATTGCATTTGACCTTTTACGTAGTAATTGACATGTGCCAGGGCAATGATGAATGAGAATCTACCCCCAGGTCCAAGCATTCTGAGCAACTCTTGATTATCCATATAGTCAAATGGTAGGCATTTCCTATCACCTATTTCCATTCAACAAGAGTGCTATATTCATTTAGCTAAACAGATTCCAAAGAGTAGAACTGCATTGACTGTGACTAATTTCAAAATACTTATTATTATTATTATTGTTATTTTTTTAGATGGAGTCTCACTTTGTCGCCCAGGCTGGAGTGCAGTGGCACAATCTCAGCTCAGTGCAACCCTCTGCCTTCCGGGCCCAAGCGTTTCTCCTGCCTCAGCCTCCCAAGTAGCTGGGATTACAGGCACCTGCCACCATTCCCGGCTAATTTTTGTAATTTTACTAGAGACAGGGTTTCACCATGTTGCCCAGGCTGGTTTCGAACTCTTGACCTCAGGTGATCCACCTGCCTCGGCCTCTCAAAGTGCTGGGATTACAGGCTTGAGCCCCCGCGCCCAGCCATCAAAATGCTTTTTATTTCTGTATATGTTGAATACTTTTTACAATTAAAAAAAAAGATCTGTTTTGAAGGCAAAACTGCAAATCTTGAAATTAAAAAGGCAAAGATGTAAAGGAATCAAAACTATAAATCAAGTATTTGGGAAGTGAAGACTGGAAGCTAATTTGCATTAAATTCACAAAAACTTTTATACTCTTTCTGTATATACTTTTTTTTTCTTTAAAAAACAATTATAGATCAGAATAGCCACATTTGGAACACTTTTTGTTATCAGTCAATATTTTTAGATAGTTAGAACCTGGTCCTAAGCCTAAAAGTGGGCTTGATTCTGCAGTAAATCTTTCACAACTGCCTCGACACACAGAAACCTTTTTAAAAACAGACACTTGCCGAAGTCTTTTGTTCGCATGGTCACACCCTGATGCTTAGATGTTCCAGGAATCTAATATGGCCACAGTAGTCTTGATGACCAAAGTCATTTTTTTCCATCTTTAGAAAATTACATGGGAACAAACAGATTAAACACATCTGAAGCTACTGTGTGTGTGAATGAACACTCTTTTGCTTTATTCCAGAATGCTTTACATCTATTTTGGACTGTATATTGTGTTTGTGTATTTATGCTTTGATTCATAGTAACTTCTTATGTTATGGAATTGATTTGCATTGAACACAAACTGTAAATAAAAAGCAAGAAAAGGCTGAAAAAAAATAAAATAAAATTCTGTGGTAACTGACGTTTGAACAAATGTTGTTAGGAGGAACTGATGTATTTTAACTAAACCAGATTAATGAAACTGGTGCATGTAAGAACCATGCAACATGAGAACTGCCTGTAATTTAACTCATTTTGAGCCCCTCCTCTTTCCCTTTTCTTTTTTGAGGTGGAGTCTCACTCTGTCGCCCAGGCTGGAGTGCAGTGACGCGATCTCGGCTCACCACAACCTCCACCTCCCGGGTTCAAGCGATTCTCCTGCCTCAGCCTCCTGAGTAGTGGGTACTACAGGCGCGTGCCACCACACCCGGCTAATTTTTTGTATTTTTAGTAGAGACGGGGTTTCACTGTGTTAGCCAGGATGGTCTCAATCTCCTGACCTTGTGATCTGCCTGCCTTGGCCTCCCAAGGTGCTGGGATTACAGGCGTGAGTCACCGTGCCCAGCCTGAGACTGTTTTCTAGTAAGACAAACAAATAATGAGCATGATAAAAATATGTGTAAATGTTTAAGATAAAACATGACACTTCAGTAAGATTGTGTTTGTCTTCCCCAGATTTCTAGGTACACGAGGTTGTTCTGTTATTAGGGAGAGTTTGGTGGTAAAGTTTGAGAAACACAGCCTTATGGATAGGATCATCCAATATATGAGAATTCTACTTAACAACATGAGTTTCTAGGGCACTTGGGCTAACTTGGCTTATAAGAACAGACTGTAAATATCAGGAAAGAAAGGGTAAGAGGGGTAAAAATACTAAAAATTTCCAGCCTCTGTTGTATGTTAGATCATGTTAACATCACAACCCTGATAGGTAGCTATCATTTTACATATGACAAAAATGAAATTTGAGGTAAGTTTACCAAATAGGAAGTATGAAAAATCCAGATTGACTCAAGTCCAACTCCATTTATAGGTAACATGCTACATGTATGGTCAGTAAAGATGAAGATGGAAAAGCTAAATTTATATTTTTGCTTTAGAGAGCTTACTTCCTCTACTTAGAAAGGTTTTTGCCTTCTTAATGACTGCCAAACATTACCCCGTACTCAAAGCCTTCTCAGAATCTCCAGGCACAGCAAATCCTTCCTCCTCCTGCATTTCAGTAACAACTGTATAGACCTCTATCAGAACTTCATTATGACTTTTGTTTACAAGGTCAAAAGCTGTTAAACTGACCACAAAATCTGCAGACAAGCCAACAAGTAACTGGTTAACTTCTGTTTGCCTTGGGTTTAGTTTGCTTTACTTTTTCTATTGTCTAAGGTAGAAAGTTAGGTTTTTGAGATCTTTATTTTTAGTGTAGGTATTTACAGCTATACATTTCCCTATAAGCACGCTTTAAGTAAACTCAAAGTATTTCTGATTTTTCTTGTGATTTCTTCTTTGACCCATTGGTTATTTAAGAGCATGCTGTTCAATTTCCACAATTTGTGAATTTCCCAAATTTCTTTCTGTTATTGATTTGTATCTTCATTATGGTTAGAGAACATACTCTGTATGACTTAAATCCTTTCACACATATTGAGAATTGTTTTATAACCCAGCATATAGTCTATCTTGGAAAATGTTCTTATGTATTTCAAAAGAATGTGCATTCCGCAGTTGAGAGAAGACTTTTTGTAAATACATATTAGATTAAGTAGGTTGACAGTGTTTTTCATGCTTCCTCTATCCTTACTTATTTTCATCTATTTGTTCTATCAGTTACTTGAAGGAGGGTGATAAAATGTCCAATTACAATTGTGGATTTGTCTACTTCTCTTTTCAGTTTGGCAACTGTTAACTCATTTATTTTGAAGCTCTGTCACTGGGTGCATATACATTTAGGATTATTATGTCTTCTTGATGAATTGATCCCTACAGATCATTATGTAAGGTTCCTCTTTATCTCTGGCAATACTCCCAGTTCTAAAGTCTATTTTGTCTGATATTAATTTGGCCACTCCAGCTTTCTTATGTTTAATATTTGCATGGCATATCTTTATGTTTAATATAAATTCCTTGTAGACAACATATAGTTAGGCTTTGTGTTTTAACAAGTCTGAAAATCTCTTTTAATTAATTAAGTTATTTATTTGAGATAGAGTCTCGCTCTGTTGCCCAGGCTGGAGTGCAGTGGCATGATCCCCGCTCACTGCAACTTCCACCCCTTGGGTTCAAGCGATTTCCCGCCTCAGCCTCCTGAGTAGCTGGGATGACAGGTGCACACCACCATGCCTGGCTAATTTTTGCATTTTTAGTAGAGACAGGGTTTCACCATGTTGGCCAGGCTGGTCTCAAACACCTGGCCTTAAGTTATCCGCCTGCCTCAGCCTCTCAAAGTGGTGGGATTACAGGTGTGAGCCGCTGTACCCAACCTCTTTTAATCTTTTAACTGTAGTGTCTTTAAATGTAATTATCAACACAACGGGTTTAAACTTACTATGTTGCTATTTGTTTTCTATTTGTCACATCTGTTCTTTGGTTCCTTTTCCATGGCTTCTTTTGGATCAGGTATATTTTGTTTGTTTTTTTGAGATGGAGTCTGGATCTGTTGCCCAGGCTGAAGTGCAGTGGCGATCTTGGCTCACTGCAACCTCCGTCTCCCAGGTTCAAGCAATTCTCTGTCCCAGCTTCCTGAGTTGCTGGGATTATAGGCGTCTACCACCACGCCCGACTAATTTTTGTATTTTTAGTAGAGATGGGGTTTCACCGTCTTGGCCAGGCTGGTCTTGAACTCTTGACCTCGGGATCCACCTGCCTTGGCCTCCTGAAGTGCTGGGATTACAGGAGTGAGCCACTGTGCCCAGCTGCATTTTTTTTTTTTTTAAGATGAGGTTTCACTCTGTTGACCAGGCTAGAGTGCTGTGGCATGAACACAGTTCACCACAGACTTGGCTTCCTGGGCTTAAGCAATCCTGCTGCCTCAGCCTCCCAAGTAGCTGGGACTATAGGCATGTACTACCAAACTGGGCTAATGTTTTCTGTAGAGACAGGGTCTAACCATGTTGCCCAGGCTGGTCTCAAATTCCTGGGCTCAAGTGATCTTCCTGCCTCAGACTCCCAAAGTGCTGGTATTATAGGCCTGAGTCACCACAGCTAGGGTATCTTTAAAAGATTTTACCACCATTAATGGCTTATTAGCTATACCACTATTTTTTCAGTGGTTACTCTATGGCAGGCACCGGCGAACTATGACTCACGGGCCAAATCTTGTCTGATGTCTGTTTTTGTGAACAGTTTCATTGAAACAATGCCATCACCCATTTGTTTATGTATTATCTATGGCTGCTTTCATAACATAACAGCAGAGTTGGGTAGCTGGAACAAAAACCATATGGCCTACAAGGCCTGAAATATTTATCATCTGAACCTTTATAGAAAAATTTGCTGACTACTGCTCTATGGTTTAAGTTTAAAAATTAAGATCTTGTGACAAAATTGCCCAATTGTACCCCAAATATAAAGTGGCTCAAATACTGACTTAAAAAGTTTATGCTCAGGAGATACAAAAGTCAATTCCAAAGATAATTACTCACATTGTTTTCTTGTTTCTTGTTGTTCTTCAAGAGTGTGATGATACAATTATGAATAAAAAAAGCAAGGGTAAGCACTCCAGTCAGCTGTGGAAACTGAAATCTTATCTCTAGGAGAAAAATAAAAACAAAAACATTAAAACTGACAGTTAGAAAATGAGTAGTGGTAGCCAACAGTCGATTACCAAAAATCAGTTGTCACTGTTTTATCTGGGGAATGAGAATATTAAAATGTCTTTAAAAAGTTCCTCAAGGCCAGCATTATACTTGGGCAAAGCACTCAAAAGGAGGAAAAAAAAAAGTATGCTCTGGCTGGGTGTGGTGGCTCACACCTGTAATCCCAACACTTTGGGAGGCCAAGGTGAGCGGATCACCTGAGGTAAGGAGTTTGAGACTAGCCTGGCCAACATTATGAAACCCTGTCTCTACTAAAAGTACAAAAATTAGCTGAGCGTGGTGGCAGCAGCCTGTAATCTCAGCTACTTGGGAGGCTGAGGCAGGGGAATCGCTTGAACCTGGGAGGCAGAGGCTGTAGTAAGCCGAGATCGCGCCATTGCATTGCAGCCTGGGTGAAAGAGCAAAACTCCATTTAAAAAAAAAATATATATATATATACTCTGTGCAGGCGCTTTGTATCAATTATTCCTATTTGAGGTCATACAATTGGTATGGGGAAGGGCAGGATTCAAATTTAGGCTCTGTCTGACTTTAAAGTCCTTCATTTTTTTAATACCTGAATTTGGCAGAAAATTACCTCTAGAAAAGGAATTATGAAAGGGCAAACTGGTCATTTAACATTCTTCACTGACAAACCTAAAAAACATTATTTAAAAATAATAGAAATAAATGTCCACCTACAGGGGATTCATTAAATTGAGATACAGTTGTGCAGTGGTATACAGTATCAAAAATTATGTTGTAGAGGCAGTTTCTTTTTTTCCCTATGATTGAAATAGCATACATACTGTGATTTTACTTTTTATTGTTTTATTCTTTTTGAGATAGGTTCTCACTCTGTTACCCAGGCTGGAATGCAGTGGCACAAACACGGCTGACCACAGCCCCAACTTTCTGGGCTCAAGTGATCTTCCTGTCTCAGCTTCCCTGGCAGCTAGGATTATAGGTGCATGCCACCACACCCAGCTAAGTTTAAAAGAATTTTTTTTTTTTTTTTTTTGGTAGAGACAGGGTCTCGCCATGTTGTCCAGGCTGGTCTTGAACTCCTGGGCTCAAGTAAAAACTCCCACCACAACCTCCCAAAGTGCTGGGATTACAGGCATGAGCCACTGTGCCCAGCCTACTTTTACTTCTAAAATATATATGTGTGTATAGATGTGTGCATGCAAAGAAAAAAGACTGGGCGGGGGGGGAGTATCCACAAAAATATAAATAGTGGTTACATCAAGTTATGCAACTTATTTTAAATTAACCACTTACCTATAATCTCTAAATGTTCTGCAATAAACACAAAGCTACTTTAAAGTGAGAATAAAATAACACTGCAAAAGCACTGCCAATTTCTGTTTTGAGGACTGCTAATAGAAGGAAAAAAATTGATTTTATGTAGAATAAAACCATGATTTAATTGAAAATACTGCTGGTCTAGGCAAACCCATCTCAGGGGATTCCTTAGTGTAAAAAGTAGAAATGTATAAAAAATCCACTGACTCTGCTATATTATTTTAGAAAAAGAGAAAACAATTAAGAATCAAGCACTAGCTCTAAAATAAAATAAATACATCTAAATAAAATAAGATTAGTTTTAAACACATTCTTTTTAATTTAGCTGAATTTCCTGTCTCTCAGAGTAATCAATTCTATTACTTAGTTAAGATACCCTGTAAAGCAATTTCTTATTTCATCCTTTTCTATCTTTTCTAATTAAGGCAAGTAAGACCACTGTTAGGTTTCTAACTTGTCATATTACAGTAGGTAAATAGTCAGTTTTTTCCCATTAACTACCAAAAGCTATCTTTTTGAGAAAATTTCTTGAAAACCTGAGACTCTTTTTAACAGCACTATTGAAATAAAATTCATGTTTCACCCACTTAAAGTGCACAACTAGTTTTTAATTGAACAGTATATTCACAGAGTTGTACAACCATAACCACAGCACTTCATTCCTTTTCTATTGCCAAATAATATCCCATTGTACAGATATACCACATTTTGGCCAGGCACGGTGGCTCACGACTGTAATCCCAGCACTTTGGGAGCTGAGGCAGGCAGATCACCTGAGGTCAGCCTGGCCAACATGGTGAAACCCTGCCTCTACTAAAAATACAAAATTAGCTGGGCATGGTGGTGCACGCCTGTAATCCCAGCTACTCAGGAGGCTGAGGCAGGAGAATCACTTGAACCGGGAGGGGGAAGTTGCAGTGAGTTGAGATTGCGCCACTACACTCAAGCCTGGGCAACAGAGTGAGACTCTGTCTCAAAAGAAAAAAGAAAGATATACTACATTTTATTTATCCATTCGTTAGTGATAGACACTGGGCCGTTTCCACTTTTGGCTATTATTAATAATGCTGCTATAAACATGCATGTACAAGTTTTTGTGTGGAAAATACACTTTTTTAAAGAACACATTTATGCCATGATTATTACATAAATTAAATAATAGACTCCTTCACAAAATAGTTTTAAAGAAGCTCCAAACTTCTGCTGCTTACTTTATTCCTTTGAAAAGGCATATCAAGAAAGGTTGTAAGCAGGACGAAGATAATTGCATTACACATATCTGAGAAAGGATTCATATTTGGAATGTATAAATAAATCCTATAAATCAATATAAAAAAACAGACAGTTAAATAGAAAGATAGAAGAAACACTTCAGAAAAGATGAAATCCAAATGGCCAACAAACATATGAAAAGTTGCTAACTCCACCCATCATTAGAGAAATGCAAATTAAAACCACATTGTATGTTCCCAACAAAAAGATAAATGTTTGAGGTGATGGATATGCCAATTACCCTGATTTGAACACTACACACTGCATGGAGGTATTAAAATATCATATGTATCCCCCTAAATATGTACAACTATTTTATATCAATAAAAATTTTTAATTAAAAAACACAAAACCACAATGTAATACCACATTATATACCCATCACAAAGGCTGGATGAAAAACACAGAAAGTGCAAGTATTAGTGCACTATAACTGAAATGAACTTCAACTAACAAGTAGAAATGACAAAGGGCCCTGGTTACCACTAACTGCAGGAAACTCAAAATAATCTCAATTGTAGTACTATTTTTAACTTAATAGCATTTATAAAAATGCCCAGCATAAAAAAAATCATTACTTGTTTTAGAATAGCATAACAATAGTTAACTTAAGATCACATTATTGTAATTTATTATTTTGCCAAAACAGCTCACCTGGTACAAAAAATTCTGTTGGTATAAACCAATGAAATTCCAAATGAAATCCCAAGCGAACAGCCTTAAAGGTGACAAGGAAAATCAAATAAAGGACAGATACTGTGCCTGTGAGGAAAAAATTCAGAAACCATTTATTATCTTTGTGTGTTTTACAGATTATTTTAAAATCAAGCATTGTTTCCATAGTCTCAGCAAAGTGTGGGAAACTGTTACCTGCATTGATTATCTCCACTAACACCGAGCTGGGATCTAAAGACTAGAAACAAGCTGAGGGAGTTACCAGAAAAAGAACAAAAAAACTCTATGTAGTAGGCCTAACAAGAACCAGACGGGTTGGGTGTGGTGGCTCACACCCGTAATCCCAGCACTTTGGGAGGCCGAGGTGGGCAGATCACCTGAGATCAGGAGTTCGAGACCAGCCTGGCCAACATGGCAAAACTTCATCTCTACTAAAAATACAAAAGTTAGCCAGGTGTGATGGCACATGCCTATAATCCCAACTACTCGGAAGGCTGAGACAGGAGAATCACTTGAACTCGGGAAGCAGAGGTTGCAGTGAGCCAAGATTGCACCACTGCACTCCAGCCTGGGTGACAGAGCGAGACTCCATCTCAAAGGAAAAAAAAAAAAAAAGAGTAAGAAAAGAAGAATCAGATGAAGGTAGCTCATACATTGCTGAATGCAAAACTGCTTCATTTACTTATGAGTTGAGTTTAAGCAGAAGATACAAGCAGAGAGTCCACTATAAAATTGTAGGATTACACAGGATAAAACTAACTTTTATTCTTTGAATTGGAAGTGTTAGAGACAGTCTGTCACAGTATTTAATGTGAGATGGTAAGAAGGTAAAGAAAAAAAAGCAGTGAACGTGGATCAAAAGCATATTTGAGAAAGGTGAGAAGCCAAAATACATGAACAATCCTGATCTAGTATCTAGATGAGGTTTTGACTGGGTAGCACTACCTGCTAGACGGAGATTCCAGACTCCATTCTCAGGTATTATATACAGGGTAAAATGGGCATTCAGAATTTTTTAGTAGTGTAGAAGGCAGAAGATTATTCCTTTCAAGAAATTAAGTCTAGTCATTATGGAGTAGAGTCAGAAAACTCAGGAAGGCCTTAGATGCTAATTCCTCTAATGAAGCTATGGTTTTAAGAGAAAGGGAAACTACCAACGAAAAGAACAAAAGCAGAATATCCTTAAGGAGCTGGAGAATCAACGATCAACCTGGTTGGAAGTCTGGTGATTGTTGTGCCCAGTTGAGCAAATCCTTCTATAAGTTTATATTATTTTAAAAGATCTGTTTCATAGAAAAGTTGGCAAGCAAATCAGGAAACCACGAATGAGTGATATAAGCAGTACTGTGGGTTTGGAGATTAGCTGATTCATAAAGGATGAAAACAAGACGCCAGAGCTTATATAACCACAACTCTCCATCTTCTGTGTGTCTATGGCAACTTACAGTGAATTCTGTACCTGAGGCAGACAGGCAAAGAGAAATAATTTTAACTTTTCCTTTGGTCTTCTGGAAACCTAGAAGCCACTGCCTTGTTCCTTGATATGATGGGTTATTTATTGATTTACTTCTTGAGACAGAGTTTTCACTCTTGTTGCCTAATGGCATGATCTCGGCTCACTGCAACCTCCGCCTCCTGGGTTTAAGCAATTCTCCTGCCTCAGCCTCCCGAGTAGCTGAGATTACAGGCATGCGCCACCACGCCTGGCTAATTTTGTATTTTTAGTAGAGACAGGGTTTCTCCATGTTGGTCAGGTTGATCTCGAACTCCTGACCTCAGGTTATCCGCCTGCCTCAGCTTCCCAAAGTGCTAGGATTACAGGTGTGAGCCACCGCACCTGGCCTATCTATTTATTTTATGCTCTAGATTGCCTGCCAAAGATCACATCCACAGGGAGGAGGTGAAATTGTACGGTTTATGTGGAGTTATCAATTCCTTATGAATGATATCCTTGTCTTTAGTTAGCCAGATCTGAACTTTCACTGGGAGGTTCCTTTTGCCATATTTTTTTTTTTTTTTTTTGAGACACAGTCTCGTTCTGTCACCCAGGCTGGAGTACAGTGGCGTGATCTCAGCTCACTGCAACCTCCACCTCCTGGGTTCAAGCAATTCTCTGCCTTAGCCTTCCAAGTAGCTGGGATTACAGGCGCCTGCCACCACGCCCGACTAATTTTTGTATTTTTAATAGAGACGGGGTTTCACCATCTTGGCCAAGCTGGTCTTGAACTCCTGACCTTGTGATCCACCTGCCCTGACCTCCCAAAGTGTTGGGATTACAGGTGTGAGCCACCGCATCTGGCCCCTTTTGCCATTTTAAGTGGAGTAAAAACATTCGTTTAGTGGTTTTTGAAAAGCAGGGCTCACAGAAAGAGGTCTATTCCTTAAAGAAGGCAATAGTGTTCTAAGAAAAAAAAAAAAAAAGCACTGAGGAAGAGAGCAAAAGCAGAATAAACCTAAGAAGCCTGACATAGAGAATGATTTCCCAGGTTCAAAGTCAGGTGACAATCCTGCATAATACTCTTAGAGACTGTAGGAAAAAACATTCTATAACCTTCCTTAGTAAGTTCTGTTTCCAACCGTTGGAATTGAGAATTCCTATAAGATCCAATTTGGATCTCTCCTCCTGAAATTTTCATCTATTTCATCTAGTTGTATCCTCAGAGGAAATGAGGAAGAAATGTTCAGTAAGTTTAGAATGAGAAACCAAATAATTCGTGTCTCAAAAAAAAAAAAAAAACCACAACCAAACCAAAACTGGTCATCTACACTTTTCTCCATGCCAAACTCCATAAAAAAATAGAAAAAATCAGGTTATCATAAGAATGAACAACTTGCCAGGCACGGTGGCTCACACCTGTAATCCCAGCACTTTGAGAGGCCGAGGCAGGTCAATCACCTAAGGTCAGGGGTTCAAGACCAGCCTGGACAACATGATGAAACCCCACCTCTACTAAAAATACAAAATTAGCTGGGCGTGGTGGCACACACCTGTAATCCCACCTACTTGGGAGGCGGAGGCACAAGAATTGCTTGAACCCTGGAGGCAGAGGTTGCAGTGAGCCGAGGCTGGGCCATTGCACTCCACCCTGGGCAACAAGAGTGAAACTCCGTCTCAAAAAAAAAAAAAAAGAAAAAGAAAAAGAAAAAAACAAAACAAAAATGAATGAACAAATTAAACACAGATGAACAGGCTTGGAAGGTAACTGCCCAATCAGACCATATTTCCCTAGACTCCACCACGTATTCTATTATACAAAGTCTCCATAATTCAGCAGTACTACTTACCTAGGATATTAAATTTTGAAAAAAATGAAGGAGATTTGAAATTGAGCAGTGGAAGGAGGAACCCTACAAGATAAAAGGGCACTGTCCTGGACTTATCCCACCACTTTTCAAACTGTTGGGCTCCTGTGTCATTGGCATAGAAAATCATAGAGCTGTTGTCAGGATGGCCTCCACTCCCGGCACTTGGACAAATCACTGCAATAGGAAAGTACCAGATTAGAGAAGATGACCAAAAAAAACACCAAAAAACAAAAAACGAAAAAACAAAAAAACAGAAAATGACTGCCTCTAGAGACAGACACTTGCTCTACCAACCTCAACTTTTTCCAGGAGCCTAAATGTCTCCCTTCTGGAAAAAATAGAAGGTTAATTTTAAGAATATTAGTACTCCTTCACCTAAAAATAAGTAAGAGTGAGGGAATCTTTAAAATTTCTGAGATATTATCTTTATTTTTATTTATTTATTTTTTGAGACAGAGTCTCGCTCTGTCGCCCAGGCTGGAGTACAGTGGCGTGATGTTGGCTCACTGCAACCTCCGCCTCCTGGATTCAAGCAATTCTCTTGTCTCAGCCTCTCAAGTAGCTGTAACTACAGGCACACATCACCATGCCCAGCTAATTTTTGTATTTTTAGTAGAGAGGGCATTTCACCACATTGCTCAGGCTGGTCTCGAACTCCTGACCTCAGGTGATCCACCCACTTTGGCTTCCCAAAGTGCTGGCATTACAGGCGTGAGCTACCGTGCCCAGCCCTGAGATATTATCTTTAAACTCTACTAGAAACTATAAAAATATCCCACCAAATATGCCTTGGTTCCACTGCCAGAGAGAAAATATTGGGCTGGATGGTGTTTGGTCTTATTTACACAATAATATAAAAAATATCATTTAGGGTGACTGTTTATTACACTAATAACCCATACAAAGGTCAAAGAGCAGGTTTCTTTTAACAGCAAACAAAAATCTATGGGTTTGGAATAAAAAGCAAACATCACTGAAACAGCTGCCATGGTATCATAATCACTGATAAAAATGCAAGAATCTTGAATCTCAACAATCCAAAATGATTCTGGAAGTTGATCACATTTGATAAAAGCCTAAGAGTCCAGATGATATCCAGACGGCTGGGAAATCAGTAAAATGTATGTTTCTTTTTTTTTTTTTGAGATGGAGTCTCGCTGTGTCGCCCAGGCTGGAGTGCAGTGGTGCAATCTCGGCTCACTGCAACCTCCACCTCCTGGGGTCAGGTGATTCTCCTACCTCAGCCTCCTGAGTAGCTGGGATTACAGGCACATGCCACCAAGCCGGGCTAATTTTTGTATTTTTAGTAGAGATGGGGTTTCACCATGCTGGCCAAGCTGGTCTCCAACTCTTGACCTCGTGGTCTGCCCGCCTCGGCCTCCCAAAGTGCTGGGATTATAGGCCTGCGCCACTGTGCCTAGCCTAAATGTATGTTTCTTACATACTGATCTACAAGTGGCAATTTCTTCTGTTATCAGACAGAATACCAGCCATTCTCATTGTGTTTCTAATGTCACAATAGAGTTTTTGCTAATAATCAGTTCTTCGTAAAGAACTCTTAATGCAGATAGAAAATACTCATCTTAAGTAACCCTTATACTCATCATTTGTCAAAGAGAAAGAATATTCATTGTCAGTTCTATTTTTAATTTTATTGTCTATCCATTATTTGGCACGCCACAAAGCCAAACATTTAATTTTCTTTCTCCTTCTTAGTCAACATTTTAGTGTGCTTTTTTTCTTCTATGCTCTAGACAGAAATTTTCTTGTGCTAATTATAGTGGTTAAAAGCACAGACTATGGCGCAGTGGCTCATTCCTCTAATCCTAGCACTTTGGGAGGCTGAGGCAGGAGGATCATTTGAGGCCAGGAGTTTGAGACTAGCCTAGAAAACATGGCAACCCTGTCTCTACAAGAATAACAAAATTTTGCTGGATGGGATGTGTAGCTGTAGTTCCAGTTACTCAGGCGGTGGAGGTGGGAGGATTGCTGAAACCCAGGAGTACCAGGTTGCAGTCATGCCACTATAGGCCAACCTAGGCAACAGAGAGAGATCTCATCTTAAAAAAAAAAAAAAAAGAGCACAGGCTGTGGATGGAAGTTAACTGACTGAATAATGAATTCCCAACTCTGCCACTTAATATTTAGGCGTCCTTGGATGAAATTAACTACTATGCTCCCTGGTCTCTTCACCTGGAAAATGGAGTTGACAGTATCTACCACTTAGGGTTGCCGTAAAACATTTAATGTAATGCCTGCACATAGGCATTCAATAAATGTTAGCTGTAATTTATTTATTTATTTATTTTGAGACAGGGTCTCACTCTGTCACTCAGGCTGGAGGGCAGTGGCGTAATTATGGCTCACTGTAGCCTCAACCCCTCAGGGTCAAGTGATCCTCCTGCCTCAGCCTCCTGAGTAGCTCGGAATGCAGGCGTATGCCACTATGGCCAGCTAATTAATTTTTTTTTTTTTGTAGAGACAGTGTCTTGCTATGTTGCCCAGGCTGATGTCAAAGTCCTGGGCTCAAGCAATCCTCCTGCCTCGGCCTCTTAAAGTGTTAAAATTAAAAGCATGAGCCACTATGCCCAGTAGCTAAAATTTTTTACATTAACTGAAATGGATTGTTTCATACTCTCACTGTTTACTACACTGTTCAAAATAAACATTAGCAGAGAAATCAAGAAGTGCTGGATATAAGATATCACTATATAAAATAAACTGACTTTGCTGATAGTGTTCTCTAAATCATCAATGTGACTGTGATATAAATATTTATTACCTTAATGATGAATTGACTCCCTACTGGAGAAGTACTATTAACTTTAGATATTAGTAAACTAGTTTCATCAATTAATATTAGAATAGGTACAATAAAATAATTTTCTTTTTAAATATAAGGACGTTATTTGGTTCTTTGAAAATTCTGAGGTAAGGGATAGGGCACAAGAGATTTTAGTATAATAATTCAAAGGTATACGTGTGTGTGTCCACAGGAATAAAAGCTAGTACTTTGCTCACTCGTTTTCTAGCATTAACAAAAGACAGGTTTAATTAGGGGGAAAAGTAAGATAATGAATAGCAAACACTGGAATGTAAACTTCATGAGAGGAGGGACTTTTGTCTGTTCATTTTTATATCCCTAGAGCCTACAATAGTTCCTGACACATAGTAGGTTTAATAAATGTGTTTAATGAATTATCCTCTTAGTGATCAATGTGCATCTCCATCAACATGACATCAGTTTAGTATCCCTGAAATCTAAATACATAAAGCTTTAGGTGATGTTCAAGTTTAACAGCATAACTGTTACCAAAGTTATATTAACGTTTATATTCACTTTCCCTGTAACTGTCATATTGGATTAAACCCATTGGCCACAATGGTTTATTTTTTAAAAATAAAGAAAAATTTCTAAGAAATTAATTTCTTTTGGAGCCGAAGCTTCAATTTATTTTTCCATATTTAGTTACTAACCTCTGTTTATTACTAGAAATGAATTCTTTTACAGGTTACAAATTTGTATAGCCTATATATTAATAACTAAAACAACAGATCTCTAAAACTAAGTTAACTGAGAACTACGCTTCTAGATATCTGACATAATTAATAGTGATATAGGTTCTTGAAAATATTGATTATTCACAGGCAAATACAGATACTGTAGATAAAATTGTGAGTTGTATAATATGAACTAAATGTTGCCTAGCTCACATTAATACAACCTATTGCCTGGTTACATTAACACAGCCTTTTTGGAGGTTCTTTTTTTAAAAACACACTAACTACCAACAATTTAGTAGCAGCTCAGTAAACATAATAATTTTGTACTAATCATTAACCTAAAATAAGGTCACATGTTCTACCTTAAATCCTTTTTGGAGCAAGGTGGAGAGTAAAGAAACAAACAACATCCCAAACTACTTACCAGGGTTGCTATTATTGGTACTCAGTATAGTGTCTGTGTCATTAATGTGATGAATAAAATCTAAAAATAAAGGAAAAAATATAGTTTAACACTGAATGAAAGATACTAAATCTATTACTCTCAAAGGTCTTTTATTTATAAAAATCTTTTTTTTTTTTCTTTCTTTGAGACGGAGTCTCGCTGTTGCCTAGGCTGGAGTGCAGTGGCGCGACCTCGGCTCACCGCAAGCTCCGCCTCCCAAGTTCACGCCATTCTCCTGTCAGCCTCGCGAGTAGCTTGGACTACAGGCGCCCGCCACCACTCCCGGCTAATTTTTTGTATTTTTTTAGCAGACACAGGTTTCACTGTGTTAGCCAGGATAGTCTCGATCTCCTGACTTTATGTTCCATGCACCTCAGCCTCCCAAAAGTGCTAGGATTACAGGCATGAGCCACCACACCCGGCCTATAAAAATCTTTTAATATCTGTGTAGTAATCTAGTACACTGAACCAAGACTACTTCACTGTTAACATAGCTTCACCTTCTACAGTTTTCTTCACTTATAGGCATGATAATTTTTTTTTTTTTTTTTTTGTCGGAGTCGCGCTCTGTCGCCCAGGCTGGAGTGCAGTGGCCGGATCTCAGCTCACTGCAAGCTCTGCCTCCCGGGTTCACGCCATTCTCCTGCCTCAGCCTCCCGAGTAGCTGGGACTACAGGCGCCCACCACCTCGCCCGGCTAGTTTTTTGTATTTTTTAGTAGAGACGGGGTTTCACCGTGTTAGCCAGGATGGTCTCGATCTCCTGACCTCGTGATCCACCCGTCTCAGCCTCCCAAAGTGCTGGGATTACAGGCTTGAGCCATCGCGCCCGGCCAGGCATGATAATGTTAATGGCTTCACAGTTCCACTGTGGAAAATCTTTACATAATTGAAGATTTCAGAAAAACCTATCCACAACACTGAATTAATGATAGTTTAAAGCCCCGGAATAAAGATATGTATGTAAGTTTTCTTTTATACTCACACTAAAGTTACATCTCACATAGAGTACAGTTCTAAAGTGTGCAAAGCCCCGGAATAAAGATATGTATGTAAGTTTTCTTTTATACTCACACTAAAGTTACATCTCACATAGAGTACAGTTCTAAAGTGTGCAAAAAGGGGAAACCAACACTCATACACAGCTAACCTTATCTGGAAAATCAAAGTTTTTTTTTTTACAAAGTACAATACATACTTTTATAGATCTAAGGCCATATACGAATTGTTATGCACATAAAGAACCACTGAATTAGACTAAAGGAAGTAACAAAGAATAAAGCACATGCAGATGGCTGAGCATTCATCATTCTACAATGAAAGAGAGAACAGGCAGAGAATGTGTTTACTTGCCTCAGGGGATTTACTTTATTCTGTTTGATATTAACCTTCTATAACCTGAGTAAGCATTAATAAAAGTATTTGTTGTGAAACCTGAATAAGATAGTAAAAGGTGCTGGGTTAGGTTTTAAGGTCATAAAACTAAGTTAAATAGTTGAATTATTCATACTCACTGTATGTTTCTCAAGATAGAATTAAAAAAAAAAACAGTGTAGTACTCTGGGTTTTTATAATATCTCCAAGGGTTGTTTATGATTTAAGATTGGAATTTATGAATCTTTGTGTAATTTCTTGATGCCAAAGACTTACAACAAGGCTAGTAAAATCTTGACACAAAGTGTACTGGGTTAAATAGCATTCCTCTTACCCCAATTTTATGTCCACTAGAAACCTCAGAATGTGACCTTTTTAAAAATAGAGTCTTTGTAGATATAATCAAGTTAAGATGAGGTCATAATAGATTAGGGTGGGCCCTAAAGCCAGTGAATGATGTCTTTTATTTTATTTTAATCTTTTTGAGACAGAATCTTGCTGTCACCCAGGCTGGGGTGCAGTCGCATGACTGCAACCTCCATCTCCCAGGTTCAAGAAATTCTCCTGCCTCAGCCTCCCGAGTAGCTGAAATTACAGGCACCTGCCACCACACCCAGCTAATTTTTGTATTTTTAGTAGAGACAGGGTTTCACCATGTTGGCCAGGCTGGTCTCAAACTCCTGACCTCAGGTGATCCACCTGCCTCGGCCTCCCAGAGTGCTGGGATTACAGGCATGAGCCACCGTACCCAGCCCAATTTATAGGAAGAGGGAAATTTGGACACAGACACACAGAGGGAAGAGGGCCATGTGAAGAAGGAGGGAGAAACTGGAGTGATACACCTACTTGCCAAGGAATGCCAGAGACCACCAGCAACCAACAAAGGTTAGGAAGAGGCAAGGAAGGATTCTTCCCTAGAGCCTTAGGAGGGACCAGGGCCCTGTTCACCCTTTGATTTCACATCTCTAGTATCCATAGTTATGAAAGAATCCGTGTTGTTGTAAGCATATTAATGGTAATTTGTTACTGCACCCTTGGGAAACTAACACACCAAGGCTCATGGACAGCATGAAAAAAAAAAAAAAACCACAGGCCAATATTTGTTAGGAAAAGACACAAAAGGTCTAAACAAATGTTAAAAAAAGCAAACTCAATCCAGTCAGGCATTTGAAAAATATATGTCATGACTAAGTTTACCCCACAATACAAGGATGCTTTAAATTTTACAAACCGTATTCATTTAATTCATCATATTGATAAAGGAGAAAATTTAATTAAGATAATCTCTTGATTGTCTCTTTGTATATTTTGATTATCTCAAGACATGTAGAATAAGTACTTGATAAAATTCAACCACTTTAATAAAAATGCTTAATAAGACAACAGATGGGAGTGTCTTTAAATTATTAAAGGGTACAACCGATATCCCACAACAAACATAATATTGTGAAACATTAGAAAGATTTCCTTATGAACAATATATCTGCAGGCACTGCTTCAATGCAACTTCACATTTAAAAAAAAAAACCATCAACATATACATATAGATACACACACGTTTATATGTATCTGTGTACGTATATATAATTACATGTCTATAAATATAAATGTATGTATACATATATGAACTATTAAAAAATAACTGGAAAGGTTTATTTTATTTTATTTTTATTTGAGATGGAGTCTCGCTCTTGTTGCCCAGGCTACAGTGCAGTGGCACGACCATGGCTCACTGCAACCTCCACCTCCCAGGTTCAAGTGATTCTCCTGCCTCGGCCTCCTGAGTAGGAGGGATTACAGGGGCCCACCGCCACGCCTGGGTAATTTTTGTACTTTTAGTAGAGACGGGGTTTCACTGTGCTGGCCAGGCTGATCTCGAACTCCTGACCTCAGGTGATCTGCCTGCCTTGGCCTCCCAAAGTGCTGAGATTATAGGCGTGAGCCACTAAGCCCAGCCAGAAAGCTTTTTAAATTCACAGATGATATGATTATTTAAGTAGGAAATACAAAGTGCATCCACAAAATTTTTATTTTTTATTTCTATTTTTTTTTTGAGACGGAGTCTCACTGTGTCACCCAGGCTGGAGTGCAGTGGCATGATCTCCGCTCACTGCAAGCTCCGCCCCACCGGGTTCGTGCCATTCTCCTGCCTCAGCCTCCCGAGTAGCTGGGACTATAGGCACCAGCCACCATGCCTGGCTAATTTTTTTGTATTTTTAGTAGAGACAGGGTTTCACCGTGTTGGCCAGGATGGTCTCGATCTCCTGACCTCGTGATCCACCCACCTCGGCCTCCCAAAGTGCTGGGATTACAGGCGTGAGCCACCATGTCCAGCTACAAAATTTTTAGAATCAGTAAGAGTTCAGTAAGTTTGCTAGATTCAAGATAAACATTCAAGGGGCAGGGCACGGTGGCTCATGACTGTAATCCCAGCACTTTGGGAGGCCAAGGCGGGCAGACTACTTGAACTCAGGAGTTCAAGACCAGCCTGGGCAACATGACGAAACCTGTCTCTACAAAAAATACAAAAATTATCCAGGCATGGTGGTGGTATTTGCCTGTAGTCCCAGCTAGATCGGGAGGCTGAGGTGAGAGGATCACCTGAGCCTGGAGAGGTCAAGGCTACAGTGAGTTGTGATCACACCACTGCACCCCAGAGGCTGGGTGAAAGAGTGGGACCCTGTCTCAAAAAAAAAAAAAAATTCAAAATGTAATTAGGTTCTTTTATAATAGCAACAAATAATTTGACTGTATAATCAAAAATATATCTTGCTTTCTGGGAAGATGGAAATGTTCTATTTGTTGAAGGAGGTGTGGGTTGTATAGATGTATATATGTATAATTAAGACTTGTTTATTTCAATGAGTAAATTCTATCTAAAAGAAGCACTATATATATACTAATAGTTGAACTAGGTGGGGAGTGGGAGTAGCATGGTTTATGTCTTCTTAATGGATGTGATGTTAGTCTCAAAAGGGACAAAATTCATTCTTAGGGGGTGAAAGAAACTCTTCTTACAGATAAAGCATATATATGTATACAGTTCATAAAGAGATTTACAGTATATCTTTGGTATTAAAATTTCATGGGAGGGGTGATCAGAAAAAAATATCTAAAAGGCTCCTTGAAGGGACAATAATGAAAAAATGGTTGAAAAACACTACTATAGATGATTTAAAATGACAGAATGTTGGTAACTGTTTAAACTAGGTAAGGAGAAATTATTCTGTTTCTCCTTAAAAACAAAAAAAACTATTCTTTTTTTTTGTATGTGTTTGAGATTTTTTATATTTTATTATAAAAAATACGCAGTTTTTATACTGCGTATTTGTATACTAAAACTATAGTTACAGAAAAAATGTTAAGATCCCGAGGAAAAAGTCCACAAAAAAAGGATATGTAAGATCTTTATCAAAAAAAAATTTGAAAACCTAAATAAACAAAGAACTATGCCATGCCAAAGTCATGAATAGGAAGACTCAGTATCTAAATGATATAAATTCTCTCCACATCAATAAATCCAATGCAATGTCAATCAAATTCTAACTCAATATGCAATGATATCAATTACTGTACTGTGTACCAACTGATAAAATCAATGCAATTCCAATCAAATTCTGATTGGAATTTTGTGGAACTTGATAAGTTGATTCTAAAATATATATGGAAGAGTTGGGAATCATAATGGAGAAAAACAGTAATTTTAAAATAAAAAACTTTTGAATAACATAGAGCTACCATATAAAAAGAGAAGACAAGTCACTAATTAGAAGATATTTGCAACACAATAATGGATAAAAGGTTAGTATTCAAACTTTACAGAGTTCCTATAGGTAAGAAAAGGACCAATAACCCGATAGAAAAATGGGCAAAGGATATGAATAAGCTATTTAATGGTCAATATAATTAAGAAAAGATGATTAATGCCACTCCTTATGAGGAGAAATGCAAATTAAAACCACATCCTGATGGCAAAATTTAAGTCTGATAATACTGAGTGTGAGTGAGGATGTGGAACAAGGGTAACTTTCATAAACTGTTGGCAGGAGTGTAAGTGGTACAAGCATGATAAAGAACAATTCTGCAATTTCAAGTAAGGTTGAAAATGTGAATATCTTAAGTTCCAGAAATGTGTCTATAAGGTCCATAGCTTGGAGAAACTCCCCGCCATGTACACAAGGAGACAGAAATAAGGATGTTTAATAAAGCCTTGCACAATAAGTGAAAACAAATTAAATGTTTATCAATGAGAACAGATAAAAAAGTTGTATATTCATATTACTAAATACTACAAACAATTAGAATGAACTTTGTGTATTAATAGAGATGATGAAAGACAGAAAGCAAGTTGCAAAAGCATTTGCGTAGATTAAAAACAAGCCACCTGGCGCCGCGGCTCACACCTGTAATCCCAGCACTTTGGGAGGCTGAGGTGGGCGGATCATGACGTCAGGAGATAGAGACCATCCTGGCCAACATGGTGAAACCTTGTCTCTACTAAAAATACAAAAATTAGCTGGATGTGGTGGTGCACACCTGTGACCTCCGCTACTCGGGAGGCTGAGGCAGGAGAACTGCTTGAACCTGGGAGGTGGAGATTGCAGTGAGCTGAGATCTCACTACTGCACTCCAGCCTGGCGACAGAGTGAGACTCCATCTCAAAAAAACAAAACAAAAAACCCCCAAAAAACAAAACAAAAAACCCCCAAATAGTATATGTTGCTCTTATATTCATGCAGTAAAAGTCCAGAAAGTGCATGGGATTGATAAACACCAAATTAAGAGAAGGAAAATGAGATGGAGAAGGAGTGCATGTGGGGCTTCCACACTATCCATAATATTTTCTTTTTATAGGAATACAGAACTAACTAAGCACAGTGGCTTGTGCCTATATATTTTTTTTTTTTTTTTTTTTGAGATGGAGTCTTGCTCTGTTGCCCAGGCTGGAGTGCAGTGGCACAGTCTCAGTCACTGCAACCTCTGCCTCCCAGGTTCAAGAGATTCTCGTGACTCAGGCTCCCAAGTAGCTGGGATCACAGGCATGCACCACCACACCAAGCTAATTTTTGTATTTTTAGTAGAGATGGGGTTTCACCATGTTAGCCAGGCTGGTCTCAAATTCCTGAGTTCAGGTGATCCACCCGCCTCGTCCTCCCAAAGTGCTGTGATTACAGGCATGAGCCACCACACCTGGCTTATGCCTATAATTCAAGCCACTTAGCAAGCTAAGATGAGAGAATCGCTTGAGGCCAGGAGGTAGAAACTAGCCTAGGCAACATACTGACACTCTGTCTCTACCAAAGAAAAAAAAAAGAGATCTAATAAAAATAAGACAAATGAGACACGAAAACTCATTAGTCAGTATACTGGTATTATATTAGCTTTTGCATTTTTTTGTAGTTTGAAATATTTCATAGTTCTTTAAAAACAATAAAGATGCTTGAGGCCAGGCGTGGTGGCTCATGCCTGTAATCCCAGCACTTTGGGAGGCCGAGGTGGGAGGATTACTTGAGGTCAGGAGTTTGAGACCAGCCTGGCCAACATGGTGAAACCCCATCTCTAAAAATACAAAAATTAGCTGAGTATTATCATGGGCGCTTATAATCCCAGCTACTCAGAAGGCCAAAGCAGGAGAATCACTTGAACCTGGGAGGTGGAGGTTGCAGTGATCCAAGTTGTGTCACAGCACTCCAGCTTGGGTGACAGAGCAAGACTCCGTCTCAAAAAAACCCCCCAAAAAACAATAAAAATGCTTGGCAATAAAAATTATAAAGTTAATTTTATTCTTTAAAGTTTAAAATAAAACAATTTATCTCCCTCATTCAAAGGCTCTTAGGGAAATTAGCTGTTGTGATTATGTTAGGACTTATTTTGAAATTTGGTTTTCACATAAATCCAGATTTTAAATATGTTTTATTTAAAGCTGCTAAACATACATTAAACTTTAGGTTTAGTGAAAACTTTAGTAAAACCTTTATATAGAAAAAGGTTTGGTATCTTATGCAATAAACTTCCAGTTCAGTACAGTGGCATGAGCCTGTAACCAGGAGGCTGAGGTGGGGGGATCACTTGAGCCCAGGAGTTTGAGACCAGCCAGGGCAACATAGCAAGGCCCTGTCTCAAAAAAAAAAAAAAAAAAAATTTCATTAAGTAAAAAAATGAACTTCCTCTATCCAACCTAAAAAAAATTATAAAAAGTATTTGGACTGATTTCTAAGATTCTCTTCAGAATTTAAGTAGCTGATTTGGGTAAATTATAATTCTGTGATATGTAAATATTAATAACATTTATCACATAAATCCCATTATTCTTTGACTTCCTAATCTTACATCCTAATATGTTGAAAATAAGTGGCTGAAATTTGTTTCCCCTAGAGTCTACATATCAAATTCTTTAGTGAAACAAACTTAAAAGATCTGCTGGATTATAGACATATTTTATATTAACTAAAGATTTTGGAGGAATATTATTCATTCAAAGATTAATGTTTGGAAGTAAGCGTACACTATATTTGAGATCACAACCACAGAAAAGCAAACTGAATAAAATATATTTTCCAAAATTATATATGTTACTTCTTATTTTATTTATCCCAAGTCCTAGAATTTAAGGCTAGAACTAACATTACAGTGGTAATTGCATTTGAAAGTACTGTGTTAAAAGCATATGATATAGATACTTACTAAAAATAAACTTTCCAGTATTAAAAAGAAAATTTGACATAAGCACCCAATAAACTATCATTGCTCCAATGAGAGACACCAAGGAGAAAAGGAGACTCGACCACTGCCCAAAGGAGCCGAAATAATGTCTGCAGACATCTGGATATTCCCAGGTAGTAGTATCCAACGAAGCTAGATAAAGTAAGAGAAAGAATAAAACTAAATGTTGAACATATATCCCATATTCATAATCTGTGTTCCCCAAATAAACTCAAAATATTTGGCGAAATATTATGGGTATTCCATCGCTAGACATTAGAATATATTATGAGATAATAAAATTAAAACATTATAGAAAAATAAAAAAAGAAATGTAAATAAAATAGTACAGGTAACCTGAGAAACAGATTACAGTATCATAACATTTTATAATTAATAAAAGCAAGTAATAAACTAAGGTTAGACAAATACATCAGTAAGAGCCAGAAAATATTATGTAATATTGGGCATATTCGAACAACAATATTGGGGAAAGTTTCTTGAGTCACACTTTCTACCACATGCCAATATAAATTTCAGAAAACTGAGTCAAACAGACTGGGCGTGATGGCTCATGTCTATAATTCCAGAACGTTCGCAGGCCGAGGTGGGTAGATCACTTGAGGTCAGGAGTTTGAGATCAGCCTGGTCAACATGGTGAAACCCCATATCTACCAAAAAACACAAAAAAATTAGCTGGGCATAGTGGCACGCCTGTAGTCCCAGCTACTCTGGAGGCTGAGGCGTGAGAATCGTTTGACCTGGGAGGCAGAGGTTGCAATGAGCTGAGATCATGCCACTGTACTCCAGTCTAGATGACGAGCAAGACTCCATCTCAAAAAAAAAAAAAAAAACAAAAACCAAACAAACAAACAAACAAAAAACGAAAGAAAAGAAAGAAATTAAATAACAAAAAAGTTAAAAAACGTAATGTAGAAATAGAACATGAAAAGTTATCCTCACCTAGCAACTGAAGAAACAAATTACAATGAAAAAGACAAAGAGGGCTGGGCATGGTGGCTCAGGTCTGTAATCCCAGCACTTTGAGAGGCTGAGGTGGACAGATTGCTTGAGCCTAGGAGTTGGAGACCAGCCTGAGCAACATGGCAAAATCCCATATTTACAAAAATACAAAAATTAGCTAGGTGTGGTGGCGTGCACCTGTAGTCCCAGCTACTCAGGGGGCTGAGGTGGAAGGATCCCTTGAGACCAGGAGGTTGAGGTTGCAGTGAACCATGATCCGACCACTGCACCAAAAAGAAAGTAATTTAAAAGAATACAGAAAGTATATAAAAAATATTTTTAGAAGAGTATTCTTGAGAATAGCAAAAACAAGCAGTGACTTTAACATACGACATAGGGCAATGATTAAACAAATACAATAGAGCTGCCATGTGCAACTGTATACAATCATTAAGAGACACAAATGGTGATTGTAGAAACATAACATGTACTAAAAAATAGGTAATAAAGTAGAAGACAACTAAAATACAATATGATTAACTTTAAAAAGCATGCATGTATTTAGAGATTCCTATCATTTAGGATATAAATTTACATAAGAAAACAAAAAACTAAAACCATTTGCTTTTCCATGATAGGGTTATTATATTAACAATATAAACTTTGTGTTTTACATTTCAATGTTCAAGAAAGAATATAGATAAGTATAACCTATGAAAGAGTATATTAATTGTCATCAAAGGATAATTGTACAGTCTTTTTTCCTCTATGATCCCATGCTTTGAACTACTTTGAAATAATTGTCATGGTTGATGAATACGGAAAAACTGAAGTTCTGCCATCTTTGAAGCAAAATATGGCAGCTAGTACATGGCAGAAAGCAGTGATAAGCCTGAAAAGTTGGGGACATTAGAATATAATTCACATCTAGATAAAGAATGTGAGGACAATATCACTATAAAGAATAACTGTTTTGGCTGGGTGTGGTAGCTCATGCCTGTAATCCCAGCACTTTGGGAGGCCGAGGCAGGTGGATCAACTTGAGGTCAGAAGTTTGAGACCAGCCTGGCCAACATGGCGAAACACCATCTCTACAAAAAATACAAAAATTGCTGGGCACGGTGGCTCACGCCTGTAATCCCAGCACTTTGGGAGGCCGAGGCGGGTGGATCACGAGGTCAGGAGATCGAGACCATGGTGAAACCCCATCTCTACTAAAAATACAAAAAATTAGTCAGGCCCGGTGGCAGGAACCTGTAGTCCCAGCTACTTGGGAGGCTTAGGCAGGAGAATGGCATGAACCTGGGAGGCGTAGCTTGCAGTGAGCCGTAGCTTGTGGATCCTGCCACTGCACTCCTGCCTGGGTGACAGAATGAGACTGCGGTTCAAAAAAAAAAAAAGAAAAAGAAAAAAAATACAAAAATTAGCCAGGCATGGTGGTGGGCACCAGTAGTCCCAGCTACTCGGGAGGCTGAGGCATGAGAATTGCTTGAATCTGGGAGGAGGAGGTTGCAGTGAGCTGAGTGACTCTTAGCATTTCTAATAAAATTATCTTTTGACTGATAATATAATTCTAAGTCTTTTCTAGTTTTTATATTTAGGGTTTTTTTTTTTTTTTTTTTTTTTTTTTTTGCTGCATTTGACAATATCTCCAAAAAAACTGATTAATTTTGAACATTTCTATGTTTTCTTGACTTTAATGAAAACTGCTTTAGCATTTCATAATTTTAGAATGGTGCTGGTACTTGTCTGGGAATAAACAGACTTTGTTATTTTTAAGTAGTGCTTTTCACTTAGAGTTTTAATCAGAAACAGGTGCTGAATTCTATTAAGTACCTTTTTGATAGCTATTGAAGCAATTATCAATTTTCCTTTAATTTGTTAATGTAGTGAATTATGTTGGATTTCTTAATAATGAAACATTCTTGCATTACTGGAATAAACCTTATCTTAGACACAGGATATTCTTTTGATACGCTGTTGGATTCTATATGATAATGTTTTACAAATAAATTTTATATCTATATATTATTTTCTTTATTTTTGGTCATGTCAGGCTTTGTGTTATGGGTGTGTGGACTTTGTAAACTGAATTAGTGGAAGATTTTTATTTTGTTTTATTTTATTTTGAGACAGAGTCTCACTCCATCACCCAGGCTGAAGTACAGTGGCACAATCTTGGTTCACTGCAACCTCTACTTCCTGGGTTCAAGCAATTCTTGGGCCTCAGCCTCTCTTCTTTTTAAATGGTGTAGAATAATTTAATAACATGGGAGTTAACAGTTATACAGCCAATAATCCCAGCATTTTGGGAGGCTGAGGTGAGCAGATCACTTGAACCCAGTAGTTCAAGACCAACCTGAGCAAGATGGTGAAACCCTGTCTCTATGAAAAACACAAAAAATTAACCGGGCATGATGGCATGCACCTGTAGTCCCAGCTACCCGGGAGGCTGAGGTGGGAGAATCACCTGTGCCTGGGAGCTCTGGGCAGCAGTGAGCTGTGACAGCACTGCTGCATTCCAGCCTGGGTGACAGAGTGAGACCCTGTCTCAAAAAGAAAAAAAAAGAAAAGAAAGAAAAGAAAAGAAAAGAAAAAAGTTATAGAGAGAACTCTCTGGGGGCTCTGTCCCAATTTTAAATTAGATGCTGAATTAGATAAGATATGAACTTACTGTATATGTTTAAAGAAGTCTTCCAAGTTTAGCCACAATTTGCCTTAGAAACCAGAGGCTAAAATTATCTCCTTTTACCATTTAGAAACCAGAATGAATCTTCTCTCAAGACTTCTTTATTCTTTTTTTTTCTTTTTTCTTTTAAGATGGAGTATTGCTACAGTGCCAAGGCTGGCCTCAAACTCCTGGACTAAAGTGATCTTCCCACCTATGCCTCCTGAGTTGCTGGGACTACAGGCACACACCACCAGGTCTGGCTTCTCAAGACTTTTAAACAAATACTCGCCCAGTGACTAACACTAGATCTGGTTAACATAAAGAAGAAAGCTGCTTAGTAGGCACAGAAAAAAACTGGAGGCAAAGTCTGGTCTGTTGATTCATACTTGCTAAGATTTAAAGAAATAATGCATGTTTGTTTAGGTCCTAGACTACTTTAAAACAACCTAAAAAATATATTTCCCTGATCCAGAATATGTAGATATGAGTAGAGGTAAGGTGTTCACACAACTTCAAATATTCATTACTAGAGAGTTGCTTACATTTTCATATTTAGGAGATTCTAACATTTAGATCTTTTGGTATGAATAGGTAAAAACAAGTCACCATTAACTGACAGGAAGCATAGAATTCTCAATTTAGTTCTAGCAAAGACATTATTTTATAAATATGAGTTTTTAAATGATTCTTATGAAGAAACTAGCACCACAGTGAATGCTCTCTGCAAGTAACTCCCAGCTTCTCTGAATTTCAAAGGCAGCCACTAATATATTATTAACAAATTCAATTTAGCTGAAAGCAATGAATTACAGAAGTAAATCTTTAGGTACAAAGTAGACAGTTGACGCACATGTGGCACATACACACTAGTGACCTGCCTCAAAGGGAAATGCTTATTAATACCCATAACCTATTGTCACTGTGTCAAATTCTTACATATCATAGTCCGTGATTTCACTACTCGGTAGCAGCAATAAAGTGTTAAAAGGCCCATCAGTATGATGACACACATTCCAGTAGTAAATCCAGCCTGTTTAAAAATAAAAGTATAAAACAGCATATATCATCATGTAAGCATAAATTCATATGCAATTATTTTACCCTAAACAATCATGGTAAAAACTTGACAACTCATGAAAAACTAAATATAACCATCTATTTTCTTTCATGAATTTTATGTAGATTCATTAAAACCTCTGTTATAAAACCTGCAATATAAAGAGAAAATCATTTAGGTAAAAAGTGTGCTGAAAAATTAGTATTACCTGTTTTATGCCCCAAGGAATGCTTAGTATAGATGTTCCCATCATGGTATTCCAAATCATAAAACTGAAAACACAGAGTAATAGCAGTAAAAAAAAATGGAGTTTGACTCTTCAAACATTTTAATTGAGACAAAAATAAACAGTAATTTTCATTCATATACAGTTTAAGTCATGCTCCAAAAAGCTATTTCACTCACATGGTTACTAAACTGGTGTTTTTACCGTATCCTTCAGTGTAACTTTGAAGTTTATAAGCAGAGCCCAATGGGCTATACACATAGCACTCTTCTGGACCTGGAACTACATGGTCTGGGGCAATCTGGTAAAAAGGAAACATAGAGAAATGTCAGAACCAGGAAATGCAAAATGGGATATTTTCTACACATCACATCACCTGACTCTAAACACCTTTTTTTTTTGTTTTTTTGAATGGAGTCTTGCTCTGTCGCCCAGGCTGGAGTGCAGTGATGCAATCTTGGCTCACTGCAAGTGCCGCCTCCCAGGTTCACGCCATTCTCCTGCCTTGGCCTCCCGAGTAGCTGGGACTACAGGCGCCCGCCACCACGCCTGGCTAATTTTTTGTATTTTTTTGTAGAGATGGGGTTTCACAGTGTTAGCCAGGATGGTCTCAATCTCCTGACCTCATGACCCACCCGCCTCAGCCTCCCACAGTGCTGGGATTAGAGGCATGAGCCACCATGTCTGGCCCTCTAGACACATTTTAACTATCATAAACAAGTACTATGCATCCCTGATTAGTGAATTAAAAAGTTCTTTTACAAATATGGAAAATCTAAAAAAGCAAGAGTTTAAAAATCCAAAATAATTTTGGGATTTTCAGAAAACGAGTGTGGATGCAAGTACTATGCATCCCTGATTAGTGAATTAAAAAATTCTTTTTCAAATATAGAAAATCTAACTAAAAAAGCAAGAGTTTAAAAATCCAAAATAATTTGGGATTTTCAGAAAACGAGTGTGGATGTATACACACATTCATTAAGAATGGCTATATCATTGTTAATTTTACATCACTGTTTACATACTTTGACTTGCTAGACTCATCTCAGCGTCAGTTAACAAACGGCATTCAACTTTGGTGCACATGCTGACTCTATTTCCAGGCAAACAATATACATTCAAGTATAAACGTGCTCAGCTGAGATCTCGGGGGTTTGCTTCCAAGAGCAGAGCCTCTAGAAGGTCTCAACTAGACCCAGAGATACCGGATTACCTCTACTTCTCCAAGGGCTTAAGTAATTCCATTATGCAACTAAGACTTTACCACAACTACTAATGTCAAGGCCTAAGGGGAAAAAGCCAAAAAAAATTGAGAAAAAAATTACCCTACCCAGAACATTTTGGAAATCCCTATTTTGGCCATGCAAGAGGAAATCTTAATATTTATTTCACATAGCTATTGTTTAGGCTTAAATGAGATAGCTACATTCCAGTGATGCCCAATCACTGGTCCTTATTAAATGTTAATGAATGTTGGTTCTCTTCTTTTTATTAATAATACTAATTTTAAAATCCTATTTTCTCCCAGAATGTTCTCATTTTCAGTTAAACTTGCAAGTTTCTGAATATCCCATATGTGGTAGTTTTTATAAACTACCAAATTATTTACATATTTTTTATCCTAAAATAGTAATAGAGATTTTTAGAAGATCAACGGTCAACAAACTCTGGCTCATAGGCCAAATCTGGCTTCAACCTGATTATTATATAGCCTCTTTCCTGAGAATGGTTTTTATAATTTTATAAATTTTTAATGTATAATTCTGATGATCATAAAATGAAGAATATCATGTGACAGTATGTGACCTCAAAGTCTAAGACATTTAGTATCTGGCCCTTTGACTCCTGGTTTTGATCAATAAAAGAATAATGCTAAATAAGAAACTACTATATTTATGTATGTACATATTTCAGTTTCCCCTTTTTTTTTTTTTTTTAGAGATGGAGTCACATGGCTGGGCACAGAGGCTCACGCCTGTAATCCCAGCACTTTGGGAGGCCGAGGTGGGTGGGTCACAAGGTCAGGAGTTCAATACCAGCCTGGCCAACATGGTGAAACCCGTCTCTACTCAAAAGACAAAAATTAGCCAGGCGTGGTGGCACACACCTGTAATCCCAGCTACTCGGGAGGCTGAGGCAGGAGAATGGCTTGAACCCAGGAGGCAGAGGTTGTGGTGAGCCAAGATCGCACCACTGCACTCCAGCCTGGGTGATAGAGCGACACACCATCTAAAAAAAAAAAAAAAAAGAGAGAGATGGGTCACACTCTCTCGCTCAGGAGAATGCAGTGGCACAATCACAGCTCACTGCATCCTCAAGGGATCCATCCTGGGCTCAAGGGATCCTCCTGTCTTAGCCTTCCAAGTAGCTGGAACTATAGGTGCGAGCCATCACACTTGGCTAATTAAAAAAATTTTTTTTTGTAGAGACAGGGTTTCACCATCTTCTCCAGGCTGGTGTTGAACTCCTGGGCCCAAGTGATTCTCTTGCCTTGGCCTCCCAAAATGCTGAGATTACAGGCGTGAGTTACTGTGCTCGGCCAGTTTCCCATTCTTGTAGAAAATTTCTAAAAAACTATTTCCCTTGTAGCTTCAAAGTTAAAAATTGGCCACACTAAGCAGAACCTGTTATTATTTGCTATTAGTCAATGGCCTAACCTGCCATTTCAAAAGTAATTTATCCTCCTCAGAGATTTGGGGCATGAGGATCAGGGGAATTTTCCAAAAAAATCTCCAGGTTGTTGTCAACACAGAAAGATTGTTTCAAATTTAGATAACAATTAACTGGCCTGAGATGTAGGAAGTGTATTAATTACTGTCTTTGACTTTGCATGATGCTGTCCTTGAAATACAGTCAGAAAAAAGTTCAATCACTGGGAGGTGCCCTGGCTTATACTGTTCACTGTTCATTTCAACTGAATTTTAGACTATTAGTAATGTTTTGTCTCTTACCAGTGCCTTGTCTGCAGGAGTGGTGAGCCGGCTGTAGTAATGAATTCTCTTGTTCATGGCGGAGGCATGGTCACTAACCCTCTGAATGACATGATTCACATTCACGATGTTTGTGGGCTCTATATAGAAAGGCCTACAGAAGGGAATATACACTTGACAAAAAGTGTTCAGCCAAAAATTCTGGAAGTCAGCCTTTGAAGAAAGTAACTTCTTCTCCTACATTAGTAATGGGATGCACAAAGGCAAGGCATTGACTTCTCACTTTTGGTGCAAAAAGAAAATGTCACAAAAGAAGTATTATCCTATCCACAGAATAAAGCTTTTGTCTCATAACACTTTTACTTTAAGCACACTTTTTTAATCTTCAGGAATTTAGCATCAGAGAAGACAAAACAGAAAGAACTTAAAACAGTTATTAAAAAGAAATATAGCAGCTATCAGTTTCCAACAATGAAACTTAAGACAGCTTTGAATAGTCTCTCAAAAAAGCTTTTGGCACTAAATCAGAGAAATTATGGACTAAAATGTCCCTCTCCTGAAGAGTCTCTACTCCTTCCTTATGGGCCAAAGCTATTTCCTATGATAAACAGCATTCTTATTCCTTGGTTCATGTATTAAGGATTAGTGACCTCAACTATCAGATCCCTTATGAGACTTATCCAAATCAGTATAAAATGGAACATCAGGACAATGAAGATATTTTGCCTCATTCTACTTTTTGTGGATTTTAGTAACATACCCTCTTATTTATATATATGCTTCCTTTCCACGACTGCATCCTAATCAACTGCAGATTTTGGTGTTCAATCATCCTTTTCAGTCACCAACCTCTTTGGTTTCTTTCTGAAACTCCCTCAATTTCTTCTGAAGTTTCCAGTAATATACTATCCAAAATGAAAAGACCAGGCAGAGTTTTATGAAAAGACTGTATCTTTTCATAAAAGATTCTTAGACTGCTGATTCTTAGACTCCTTGAAGTCATAAGTGACACTGTGCCCCAAATTGTACATAATTTGCCATTTCAGGCACAGATCCAAATAAAGAAGAAAAAAAATCCAGATTTATCATTGGTTCCACATAACTACTTTATACTTACAGTTCTGAAAGAAACTTAAAATGTAGTAATATATGGTAATCATTTCTGGAGATACTGTTAACCTAATTTTTTTTTTTTTTTTGAGACAGAGTCTCACTCTGTCGCCCAGGCTGGAGTGCAGTGGCACGATCTCGGCTCACTGCAAGCTCCACCTCCTGGGTTCAAGCAATTTTCTGGCTTCAGCCTCCAGAGTAGCTGGGACTACTCTGGTAGTACTCAGGTTTCAGACCAGCTAGGCAGCTCCTCCGTTCTGTCCAGAAGCTACTGAATTATAGGTCTTTGTTTGTTTGTTTTGATAATGTTGTACAAATACATTTACTCAGGTGTGCACCACCATGCCTGACTAATTTTTGTATTTTTGGTAGAGATAGTATTTCACCATGTTGGCCAGGCTGGTCTCCAATTCCTGACCTCAGGTGATCTGCCTGCCTTCGCCTCCCAAAGTGTTGGGATTACAGGCATGAGCCACCACACCCAGCCATTAATCTAATCTTGTGGGAAGTACTTGAAAAACCAAGTGACAACATTTAATTTCTGCTATTTTTCTTATTAATTCTGTGATATTTGAGAAACGGTAGCAGAGGTGTTAAACTTAGTTTTATCTCTCTAGTTAGCATACAGAATCTTTGAATCTTTTATTATTTGTTCTTTACCACAACACCTAAATATGCTGGGTACTATATAGGTCAATTCAATGAATATGTAAATAGAGCACTTATAGAGCAAATATGTGAATATAGGGATCAATATGACGTATCATATATACTAGTGCTGTGGTTTGAATATGTCCCCCAAAGTTTGTGTGTTGGAAGAAAATCCCTAATGCAACAGTTCCAACAGTGGAACCTTTAAGCGGTGATTAGGTCATGCGGGCTCTGAGTTCACAAACAGATTAATGACATTATCTTGGGAGCAGGTTAGTATCATAGGAGTGGGTTCCTGGTAAAAGAATGAGTTCAGTTCCCTTCCTTCCCCCTACTCTCTCTCTTTGGCCCTTCCACAATGTGGTGATAAGCACGAAGTCCCTCCCTACATGTGGGCCCTTTGACCTTGGACTTCCCAGTCTCCAGAACTATAAGAAATAAATCTCTGTTCTTTTAAAATTACCCAGTCTCAGGTATTCTGTTACAGCAGTATAAAATGAACTAAGACACTAAGCATATTATTGTTAAGTGAATTAAGTGGTGTCAATATATTTCAAAGGGATATAATAAAAATGAATGGGTCAGAAGCTGAAAACGCAATCCCTACTTGTCAATTTGGTAGTCTGCTGTAACTACCAATTACCCCAAAGCATTATGATGTCCAATATAATTTGTATCTCTACTACAACACTCAGTGGTACTAAAAAGCAACATAAAAATATTTATATCTGGCAGATGGCTTAATTATACCTGGGGTCACACTCTATAGTGCATTCTTTTTGCTTTGCAAGAATGATGCCCTACAAAATTCAAGAAAGAATGATAGCTTTAATACCAACATAATGCAAAGACTGAAGCTAGTCATGGATTACCAAAAGAGACTGATAAGTATCATACTGATAGAAAGAGATGTAGGTGTTCTATTGCTAGCCTTTTACTTTAAAAATTCAATGGTATTACTTCCAACCACTAAGTTGGTTTGAGGCCTGCTTGCTGAAAAGCAGTCAGGAAGTGCTAAATATCTTGGCTCCTGGTTTCTCACAGAAGTGTTAACTGCACCAGTTTAGTTGGCTTGACTACTCTGAGGGCAGAATGACTCTGAAAGTTTTTCTTTTCCAACAGTTTTCATCGAGATGCTGAGTGCCTATTCAAACAAATATTCTGGAATCTTTTCAAAACAGTCTCTTCAAAAAATATACAACTCAGCATATTTAACTGAATTATTAGAAACATATGCTTAAAGCTTCATTTGAGAAGAAAAAATATAAACTATATTTTTAAATTGAACTTTAGTTGGATCTGAAAACACTTTTAAAATTAAACAATACTATACAGAGAATATTCAGAATAAGACTTTTGAAACTTGGGCTTTCTTTTTTTGATCATAGTTCACATGACTGCTCCCTATCAATATTACTTCTCATTTGAAATGTAGTTCAGCTGTGCCACACTGAAAATAAAGAAGTCATATTTATCTTACCTTATACATATTTATGGTCATGCCACAGAAAAAATGCTTTCAATATTAAGCAAAATTTACAAAATATTTTAAAATGTGAGTCAAACCTCATATTTTCATTTAATACACATATAAACAGAGAAACCTTATTTCTACCTAATACCTTTTCTAGATTCCACTCCTTAAATTCCTTAAAAATTTTTGGCTTCTACATCTGTCTCCACCCTCCTACTGACCAGTTATGCTTCTCTGAAATTTAACAACAATGTCATCACTCTTAAGAAGGTCTGTACCCCAAATGAAGTACAAAACCAGGTGCAACTGAATTCAGTATTTACGGATATACAGACAACAAAACTATTATAAACCATAGGGAAATTATTATACAAAGTCAAGATAGTGGCCATCCCTAGGGAGGATGGGGGATGTGTTTGGTGAAGGACACATGGAGAACTTCGTTTTGACCTTATGTTGCTTGGATGGGTGTTGGCTTTATTATTCTTTCTTTCTTTTTTGAGACAGCGTTTTACTCTATCGCCTAGGCCAGAGTTCTAGGCCATGGTTTACTGTAGCCTCAACCATCTGGGCTCAAGCAAGTTTCCTGCCTCAGCCTCAGCCTCCCAAGTAGCTGGGACTACAGGCGCACACCACCATGCCTGGCTAATTTAAAAAATTTAAAAAATAGAGGCAGGGTCTTGCCATATTGCCCAGGCTGGTCTCAAACTTCTAGCACAAGCAATCCTGAGTCACTGTACCTGGCCTATAAATACTTCTTAAATTGTACATAGATGAGGCACTTCTTTGTACATGTGATATATCAAAAATAAACTTTTAAAAATAGATTTTAAGTGGACACATCCTTTCAAAATTTAGTAGAGAGGTTGAGAGAGATTCAAAAATCTTTTGTATCATACAGAAATTTATCGGTTATGTTGTGGCAAACTTAAACAAGCTACCTATTTTTCTTCTACAAGAAACAACTACTCCAAATTTGATGACTTTTTCTATGATGACACATAGTTGTCAATAGTATGCTACATAGGTACACAGCAGATATTAAAAACAACCCCCTCCCACATACTTAATTTATCTCCCTTCAAGATAAAGATAGTATTTTAATTACCTGAGAAAGTAGTTGCTTTAAAAAAAAAAACATGTTATACAAAGAACATTCTTTGTATAATAATAAATGTTTAGAAATGTTTCCATTGTTAGGTGGTTTTATTGCTGAACATGTCTGTCACCAATAAAAACTCCTATCTGCAATTTCATACACATGGATTCAAAATTTTCTAAGATTTAAAAACTTCCAAATGAAGAATTTAAATGGTCTTTGAACCTGTCATTAAACATGGCAGAAAAATCAAAGTAATAATTATAATTCTAAAGCAAATTGCACTACCAGTATCTTGGTATTTACTCCATGTATTAATACATGCAAGTATTAATACTAATATTTTAATTGAAAAGTGTGCAGAAGTATAACAATGTTTAGAAATCAGTGAAATTAAATACTCAACATATTTCAAATGTGGAAATTTACAAACATTATAAAGTATCAAATAAAACAATATATAAAAACATAAACATTAAAAAATAAAAACATAAACATTAAACAGTTAGGATTCTAACATAAAGTATTCAATATGACTGTATGCAATGCTTCTTTACCCTTTGTAAACTTCCACCCAGTGTGCCTTTCAAAATGACACCTCTCAAGTAATCATTCCAGAAAGACTTCAGGACCTTCCTAAAGTGTTTAGTACTCTTCCAATGGAGATTTCAGACCAGCTAGGCAGCTCCTCCACTCTGTCCAGAAGCTACTGAATTATAGGTCTTTGTTTGTTTGTTTGTTTTGAGATAGGGTCTCATTGCGTCACCCAGGCTGGAGTACAGGGGTGCGCTGATAGCTTGCAGCAGCAATAGGAGGCTCA